GTTCCTACCCCAACCTTCATCCTACCCTACCCACCTATCTCCACCAACTAAAACAATCAACCCATCCATCCCAGATCCCTCCAAATTTGCCAGAAACGTTGCGCAACGCCTGATCAAAGATCAGATCGTGAAAACCCTGCAATTTGAGTTCCACTTTGAGAATAAGCAAGAAGAATGTCTCTGCCCCCGGTAAACTTGTACACCTTTCTGCCCGGTGCAAGAATGATCCAACCACCGCCAACCTCTGGCGTTTGCTTGCATACGAGCAACTGTCCTGCAAACTTTAAAATCGTATCCCCTGCTTGAGGACACAACTTTGGTTCTTGTGGGTGGCCGCATATCTCACACCAGTTGGCCAATCAAAGACCGAAACCGCACACCCAAGAAAACTCCAGAACTTGGAACGATCCGTACATTCCAAGGTCAGATTCTCATCGTAACACTTTTCAAAATTACTCAGGATTGCTTCGGCCTTCTCCACCGAAGATGCATCCCCCTTCGTGTACCGTATAAATACCGATACATCATCAATCAACCTCACACCCTTCACCAACCTCCGATCACTGCCCAAGGATAGAAGGAATAAGAACTCAGAGGAAGCACACAGCAAACAGGCGACAACATGGCTTGAGGGCTTACCCATTGGGATCCCTCCTACATGTCGGAAGATGCGACCACAGACCTCCGTGTACGTGTCTGAAAGGTCAAACAGAAGAAAACGACGAAGAGTATCGAAGTCAATGGTCTGCCAGCCTTCAACCACCTTTCCTCTTAGCAGCCCGACCCCTTTCCCATGCTTCTTGACGACCACTCCCCTGACCCCCTTCATCGCCCAAAAATCAATGATCCAATCGAAGGCTCTCATGATGGAATCATGTGGAAGGTTACAAAACATTTCTTTTACATCAAAGGCCGCTGTCAGCAGACCCTCCCCCTGTCTCAATCCTTTATTCACTTCATCCAACGAAGACACCGACAAATCCGTACTCTTCAAATTGAAATCAGAGTTGCGCGGAAGCTGCCATACCAGATGATTGATCACTTGCGAGATCTTCCGACAGACCCTCACACTGCAATTGGTCTGAGTCGGGCAAATAGGCCTCCATTTCATCACATCTTTATGCTTTGGGATGGCGTATGCCTTACCAACACTCCCTCTGACATCCCATCTCGCCAAGCTCCCAAACTTCGCCTCATTATACCTTGACCTGACCTTAAGCAAAATATCAGCCTCGCCCTCCCTACACTCCACAAACCCGTCATTATCCAAGAAAAGCTTACGCATCCGCTCCCGATATAGTGTGGGACAACAAACAAGAATATCGCTTGGATTGTGATCAATCGGAACTCGCACAAGACCATCAACCGACGCACACCACGCTCTTACGTCCTCCTCCTTACAAACCCCATCTGAAGTCCGACCGTCCTCCGCCTGCAAACAACCTGCCAACTCTTTGCACCGAACATATGGGATCCCAAGATCCATTCCTTGGAAGGATTCCAAAATCTGACGCTTCAATCTTCCAACCACATCAACCCTCGATGGCCACATCACATTCCTATTGTTTCTGACACAGACAGGGGCACTTTCCATTTCATTGATGCGAAAACACACATGGTCACCGGACCAAGGGAACGATAGACCAAAGGAGGCACAACAGCAAATCACCTCTCTCCTCCGTGCAGCATTCCGAAAGTTAAAGATCAGGTCACCCACATTCTTATTACGCATCCACACCACCCGCATCCTGCGAACAACCATTTTCTTCCAATCATCATCAACCTTAAGGGCCATGACCAAATCCACACAATGTCTCTGAATACTCGACTTAGAAAGAATATCATCAAACGTAAGACGGACCACCAATCTCCTTTTCACGTTAATCCCAAATTTTCGCCGAATCACCCCGGAAAGAATAACTCGTAGCTGATATCTACTCTGTTTCTCAGAGAAAGCACGCACGGCCAAGAACGCCTTCACCATCTCCGGAAGATCCCAAGTTACCAAATCTTTGCGCAGCGAGGGGTTGGACAAAAGACTAGCAAGGGTAGGCTTGAGCATTAGAGCATGAGAGAGAAAAGGGACAATAACGAGGAAATGAATGTATTTACCCACGTGGAAAACTCCTTTGCTTTTCTTAAGAAGTTCGATACTCCCGTCACTATCGATCAACGAAGATCCATACCTTCGTTTCAACACTTTCCAGTTGTCCACCAACTGATCCCCTCCTACACAGACCACCCCAACCGAAGAAATACCTCGACTCATGCATTCGTCCAAAATCGCTGAAACCCTCACCGACACCATGCGAATGGTTGAGTGGAAATCACAATGCTTCTGGTAACAAACACACGAGCTCCCCCCATTAGACTTATTGCGCCTCAAATGCTATTTCTTTCCCACCCTACTCCGCTGCTTCTTCCTCAACCCACCTTTAGAATTAAGGTACGGATTCAACCACCCAATCGCAAACTTCTCCACGTACAACAAGTCACCCTCCTCGCAACAAACTAATGGGTGAGCAACATACAGGCCCTGTGTATCTTTTGAACGGAGAACGGGCGAAATTCAACGCCCGTTCATCCGTTTAACAAGCCCCTGGACCCCCGTTAAATCCCGTTTAACGCAAAAACAGGGGCTTGGCATTGAATTCCGAAAAACGGAATTCGCGCATTGGGCCTCGGACACGTGTGCCTACGTGCCCGAACACTCAAACTAGAAAAAAAAATAAAAAAATCACCCCCCATTGACACCCCCCCCCAAACACCTCTAAAGGACCGAAAAACCCCTATCTGACCCCAAACACACCACCCAGCCCCCTCCCCCCAACCTGCACATTCCCACCACGACCCCCAATGCCCACTGCACTTCACTGCCCTCAGTGCCCTCACACCCACCCCTGAACAATGGACACTACCCCTACACCCCCAATACCCCCAACCCCCACT